AAAACCGGCAAACCAAAAGAAGGCAAACTTAAACCATTTTCTACCAATCATGATCACCGGATGTCTTCCATCATTGGATAGCCTAAAAAAAAACACAAAATAGAAAATACGAAAATACGAATATTGTTCAATACAAAATTAGAACATAAATGTAAATGCATCAGGCTTTAAAGAAAATGAAGCATGGAAAAGCTATTGAATATGATGATATTCCAATAGAGGTGTGAAAATGCTTAGGAGATGAAGGAATTTCTTGGCTTATGAAACTTTTTACTATTATTTTGAAGACTAAAAAGATGCTAGATGAGTGGAGTGTGTTGATTCCTATTTTAAGAATAAAGGTGATGCACAAGAGTGTGCGAATTATAGAGGAATTAAGTTAGTTTTTCATTCTTTACTTTGGGAGAGAGAGAGTGTGCGACATGACACTAATGTTTTTTAAAATCAATTTGGATTAATGCCGGGTAGGTCTACTATGGAAGCTATACATTTATCAAGATCTTTGAGGGAGAAGGAGAATAAGGACGATCTACATATGATATTTATTGATTTAGAGAAAAGCATATGATAAAGTTCCAAGAGACATGTTATGGAGGGTTTTAGAAAAGAAAGGGGTTAATAATGCTTATACTCAAGTTATTAAGGATATGCATGCATGAGTTTTTACTTGTGCTCAAACATAAGAAGTTGGACTAAGTATTTTTCTATTTCAGTTGTTTTATGCCAACGATCAACTTTATGTCCATATCTTTTTGCTTTGGTCATGGATGTTCTTACTAGACTTTTGCCGAAGGATGTACCTTGTTGTATAATTTTTGTTGTCAATATTCTTCTTGTTAATAACACTAGAGGAGTTGAAGGTAAACTTGAATTATAGAGGTTAATTTTGGAGTTTAAAGGTTTTCCTTTGAGTAGATCTAAAATCAAATAAATGGAGTGTAATTTTAGTAGTAATAGATCTAATAGGGGGTTTGTGACTTTTGCAGATTAAGTCATAATAAGAGTACACATTTTAAGTCATTAATAAGAGTACACATTTTAGATATCTTGGATCTATTGCCAGAAATGATGGTGAAATTGATGGGGATATTATTAGTAGAATTCAAGTGGGATGGTTGAAGTGGAGGAATGCATCAGACTTGTTGTGTGATATAAAAGTACCCCTCAAATTTAAGGGAAAATTCTATTAGATGGTAGTGAGACTTGCAATGCTTTATGATTCATACTGTTGGGCATTAAAAGATAAGCATACAATTAAGTTAAGTGTTACAAAGATGAAGATGCTAAGGTGGATGAATGGCTTTACTATTAGAGATAGAATTTGAAACAAGCATATACGTGAAAAGGTTGGAGTAGCTATAGTGGTAGATAATATTAGAGAGAGAAAGTCTCCTTAGATGTTTTGGTCACATAAAAAATCAGGCTTTGGGTGAACCGATTAGGAGAGTAAATATATTATATTTGGCCTATGTTAAGAGAGGTAGATGTAGACCTAAAAAGACATGTTTAGAAAATATTAGAAATTATATTTTTATTAGATCTAAATGAGAATTTGACTCTTAATATGATACAATAGAGAACAAGAATTCATGTAGCCGATCCTATTTAGAGAGATAAAGGCTTGTTGTTGTTATTGTTGAAGGCAATTTTTTGATGTCAACTCGAAGCTGATAGTGAGAGAAATGATGATGAATCCAATCAAGATCTAATGATTCCATTATCTCAGGTTGTAATAAACTCTGGAATACTTAGTCAGTAGAGTTAATCAACCAAACCTGATCAAATGATCTTTATCAGCAACTTTGAATTATATCATTCAGGGAGACTTTATAAACCTGGGGTTGATGTTTTGTTTAAGGTAATAAATTTAAGTCAACCTTATATAATATAGTTTTGTGCCCTATCAAGTGTATCCTATAATTCACCACCACTCAGGATTTAGAGCCATTAGGGAATGTTTGTGTTATAGTTGTGATATTAATTAAATGGTGCTATTTTTTGTCAAAACTATGCAGTTAGAGGGTCATAGTCATAATTATTATTTAGCGGTGTCATTAAGCATCAAAACGACTTGGTTTGAAGACTGTAACGTGTCCTCACTGACATGAGATCTTTTGAGAGTGAACATAGTAATACATTTGTCATGATATTAGCTCGTTATGGAGATTAATCCTAAATTTGTCATCCTTGTCAAACTATTGTGGATAGTGGATGGATTATTGTTGTTATCTTTGAAGCAATAGATTTCACTTGATTATTTTAGATTTTTGTGAAATTTTCAAATATTTTTATTTCTTGAATTTAAACCCAAAATGATTTGTACACGGATTTAAGGACATTTTTAAAAATAAAGTTCTATGGTTAAAAATTTCTATCAATGTGGCTATCATCAGGATAATTGAATAATTTTATTTTGTTAATTGAATTTTGTCAACCTGCTAGCTCATAGCGATTTGGGTTCAAGGTTTACTTTACGAGTTACCATATGAAGGGGGGTGACCCTATTAGCTTGTATTTTATCATGAATTTTCTTCATAGAATGTATTGAAGTTTTATATAAACATAAAATAAAATAACTTTTTGAATTTTGAAGTCATGCATTTTGTCCTTGGTCTATGATGATGTGAGTGTGTCTTTTTAGACCGTGAAAGTAAAAATTGCCACTTTTAAGATGAGGTTTATTAACTTCAATCCTTATGAGGAGAAGAAGTAGATTCTAAATATGAGACTAATGGCTATATCCTATAGATAGGCCTGCTCGAGAGTGCATATAATATGTTGATGATCTTTTTTTTTTTTAATGGAGTTTATAGGGTTCAAAATATATTACACACATTTTATAGTATTTGCTTGCTTCTCCATGCTTCTTGAGGATGGTCAAACTTGAGTTTGTTTTACTTTTTATCTGCGCAACATTTCTAAACACATAGGGTTTGTGAATTTTAAAATGATTGTAGGCTTCATAGAGTAATTGTATGCTTTTCATAGTGAGGGAAGTTTGGGTTCATTTTATTTTTATCCCACACAACATTTTGATCTCCAAGTTTGGACATAACACATTTATTAGAGTACCTGTGGGTGATTTTTTTTCATAAATGGAGTTTACAAATTTTAAAATAGTTGCTGACTTTACATAGCAATTGTAATCTTTTCAAAGTGAGAATTTTAGTTCGACCTATTTGTAGCCCACACAATATTCCATTTTCCAAATTTGATGGTTAGTATATTTATCAAAGCAGATATCAGTGAGTTTGATTTGGTGCTCATGCATCCTTCTTGATACACTTTCATGATGAATTTACATATTTCTTGATGCAATTGTGTATTTGCTTATTTTTGTAAATTTGCGTGCTTTTCTGTGCATTTGCACAACACTTTTGTGTGCTTTTCTATGCATTTGCGTAGTACATTTGCACTCTTTTGTGCATTTGTACTACACATTTGGAGAATATGCGGACAAAATTGTTTTTGATGATTTGATGCATCATATGGCCTTTTTATAGGGGTCTTGCGACTCTAACAGTGTATTGCTTTGCCGCATTTGAAAAATTTTAATTCATGGGATTCATTTTTCATTCACGGGACGTGCTATTCGTTCCTGAGATGCATGTGGCTTAGGACACTCATATACCCTGTGACATGCAATATGCTATACTATTCTGTCTTCATTTAAAACCATCACGTGAACTCAACTATTTGAGTTGTGTAAGGGTTTAGCGTAACAATTGTTCTCGTGAATGTATTGTATGATGTCATTGAGGTTGCACATAACTTTCATTTGAAGTTCATTATTGTTTGCATTCTATCTGTTTGTGAGTATGCAGATCTAGTAGCAAGCTGGTGTGAATTAAAAAGTTTTCACATGTTGTGAATTGGGCATCTTTTATTCATATGTGAGTGGATTTATGCTAGCGGGTGCCAGAAGAACCTCTTTCCTACTTATAAATAGGAAAGTATTGCTAATTTTATTTCCACAGTCAATTGCATTTCATATAGTTCACAAAATTCTAGTGCAGGAAGGAGGTTCTGTGCTCTTAAGTCACTTCTCAAGTTGATTACAAGCCTTTTGTTCATTAACAAGCCTTTAAATTTATTGAGAGTTCCTTGTAAGTCTCATTTTGTGTTCAACTAATGCCACAAATTTTTCTTCTTCTTTTTTCTTTTTTTAATTTTAATTTTGCAATTTATACTTGTTTATTTTTAATATATGTGTTATGTAAGACCAGTTGTGGGTTTGAGATCGTAGCATGTATATCTCAAGGGGAAATTGTGTGCTAGGCATTTCAGGGAGAGAAGTCTCATCAAATCAATCTTAAAGGTCAAAAAAATTTGGCTGGGGATTTGAGATCATATCAGATATATTGTTTTTAGATGATAATGATACATAAATCTTTTCAAAAGAAAGTTTTATCAAACATAACATTAGGCAATTGATTAGAAAGTTTGGAGATAATGATACATAAATCTTTTCAGAAGAATGTTTTATCAAAAATAACATTAGGTAATTGATTAGAAAGTTTGGACTAATGATTTGATGCTACAATAGTTATGCATATCTTAGGCGTAATAGGAGGCTAATTAGCGAGCTCAATAAGGAAGAGTACATGTAACCCACTCATAGGTTCTAAGAGCACAATAGGTATGTGACAGGAAGAGGTGTAACAAAAAGGCTCATTAACATGGATATTAATTTCAGATATCAGGATAGATGGTACAATTAATTTTTATGATATTGGGCCTTTGAAATTAATTTTATAGTCCTCATTACTTGACCTACATTAAAGTCTTAACTATTTATTATTGCTTCATTAAGCTCTTTGATTATTTGTACCTTCAAACGTGGCTACTTGCATTATTCTCATCCGCCTATTTTTATCTTAGGCAAAACACTAACGATGTTATTTTTTTTCTATTGCTGCGATGTGTAGAACGTGATAAAATATGATAATACAAATGTTTCTTATTATAAACGGTATCAAATGACAAATTCGTTTATATAGGCATTGGAATTCATTAAGCGACTAGGGCAGGCAATGCATTCTGTGAATTCAATGAAAAATGCCAGTCATCACCTTGAGTTGATCTACGTCATCCCTGCACCTCATTCACAAAATCTCGCTGAATATGATTTCGGGCCTCAAGATCTGCAAGAACTTAGTGATTCTATAGATGGTCTCTCTCTAATGACTTATGACTTCTCAGGACCACAAAATCCAGGTCCTAATGCTCCTCTGAGTTGGATCCATTCGTCTATGCAGCTGCTACTTGGCGGAAATAATGAAGGCGGTCTTGTCAGCCATGCCCATATGATCTTTCTTGGCATGAACCTCTATGGGAATGATTTCGTACTTTCTGAAGGTTTGTTCACAAAACTTGTGATTTCAAAGTAATCCTGACAACTATTTCTCCTGATGAACATTGTGACACTTTCTTCAGTAGTAAAACACATTGCCTGTTCTAAACAAATTGATCGTTCCTGATCTTTATGCTTTAACCAAGACTAGGGCGCTGTTTGGTTGAATATTTTTAAGATGCATGTATTTTTAGAAACGTAGTATGAGTTATTTGATTAGACACAAATGAGATGCATTGAAATATTTTTTTTGTTTGTTATGATAAATTTCAAATGTATTCAAATACAACAGGAGTCAAGCAACCACGGGAGGAACTCCATATATTTGAGGGTGGGCAATTAACTTAATTTCTAATTTATAAGGTGGTAATTTTGAGATTTTGCCCACCCTAAAAAAACCGTTTTGCCCTGAGCCACCCAGTTCTTGCACGGTCCAATTTGTACACACAAGCGCTGCACCTCTCTTCATTTCTCTTGTTCATGAGTCACGATTGCCCGACCTAGCACTTGCATGATGCTTTTTCTAAATCAAGGCTAGTACAGTGACTTTTGATTAATGACGAATGTTATCCCTATTTCTAAAATTAGAGAGTTGAATTGTGATTTGATATTTTAATTTAATATGAGCACTTAACATGATATAAATTTTAATGATTGTTTGAAAATTGAACTTTGGCTTAGAAATTAATAGAAAATAAAGATAAAGTGATGGTGGTTGTTGAAATGATCCTCATATTAAAAAACTAAAAAACAAAATGAGAAATTTATAGAATATAGGAGTTTAAAGTTCAAACTCTGAAGAATTGGCCTAAAGTATTATCAAACGAGCATTTTCAAGTCATCATACTCATTTTGCAAATCTAAGTTTATGGATTAGACTTTTGATGATAGCAAACATTCATAATTATCTGCGACTGCCTTGCCTACTAACGTTTCAGGACCACAAGATCGAGACTGCAAGCTGAACCAGCTATTGGGTAGATTAGGTCTGAGTCAATTTGTTATGTATTTTTTTTCTTTCTTGTGTCAAATGTAATCCTTATGGTGCCTAATGCTAAGTAACCTCGCACACACACCTTGGGAATTTTTCTAACTGTTTTTTAGAGTTTACTGCTTTTGGTAACATCGGCCAGGACGATATTCATATCGGCCTGGACGATTGGTTAAAAAACAGAAATCCTAAATAGGGCATCCTGGTTAAGGCAAACGTCATTAAGCACATCGTCCTAGACGATCCCTGTATCGTCCAGGACGATAGCCTCAAATCAGAAAAAATCAGCCGCCAGATCTATTTATGTAAGATTTATTTTTGGACATCGGCCAGGTTGATCCATTACATCGGCCTGGACGATACAACACAATTATGCCTAAATTAATCTGGCAATTATAGAAAGCAATTAAGGCTGATTGCACGATCACATCGGCCGGGCCGATCGCAGGATCGGTCGGGACGATGGCGTGGACGATTGACATCAGTCTACTTCAATTCGGGGCGATGTCCAAGACGATTTGGCTCGGATTTGAACTAATCGGCCAGGACGATATGTTATTGTCCTGGATGATGTGAACAAAATTTCTTCTGATCGTCCCATGTTGTCCAGGCTGATTGAGCTTAATTTGTATTGATTGTACAGGACTATAGAAATATCGTCCTGAACGATAATGTCGGTTCTTGAAATTCTATTTAAAGGACCCTATTCTCATGCAAAACATCTTTTGCTGCTGTCTTGACCTGAGAGAGCCAAGAGGAGAGGGAGAGAGAGGGAACTTGTGAGGGGGAGTTTGTGAGAGGGATTCACAAAGGTTGTTCCAAGCAAGGTTCCAAGGCGTCTTCTCCAGTCTTCGTCCTTCGTCCTTGGGGGTTCAAGGGAGGTCTTCTTCAGCAATTGGTCGAGGTTCTCTGCCTGCTTCAGGAGGAAGCAAAAGGAGTTGGGTTCTCTGCCTCCCCCTCTTGGTAGCCTTTGGGACATTAACTTAGGCTTAACAACCTAATTACTGGACTCAACAGTACAAACTGAAGAGAGATTGAAATAGAGAGTGTGAGAAGGTATTTGAAGGTGATTTCTTATTATTGGAGCTTGAAGAGTTCACTTGGTACTCAAAGGTAAGGATCTTTGTTTGTGAATTGTGATTACTTCACACTTTTCCCTTATCCTTCCAGATTCCTAGTGAGAATATCTTTTCAAGGAGATCCTGTTCTCTACCGACACTCGAGGAGTGTGAACAGCGGAAGGTTCTCTGCCTACACTTGTATAAGTGTGAAAGGACGAAGGGTTCTCTGCCTACACTTGGAGAGTGTGAACAGTGGGAAGGTTCTCTTCCTACACTTGGAGAGTGTGAACAACGGGAGGTTCTCTGCCTGCACTTAGAGAGTGTGAACAGTGGGAAGGTTCTCTGCATACACTTGGAGAGTGTGAACAGCGGGAAGGTTCTCTGGTTACACTTGGAGAAGTGTTAATAGATGAAGGGTTCTCTGCCTACACTTGCAGAAGTGTGAAAGGACGAAGGGTTCTCTACCTACACTTGTAGAGTATGAAAAGTGGGAATGTTCTCTGCCCACACTTAGAGAGTGTGAATAGTGAAATGTTCTCTGCCTACACTTGGAGAGTGTGAACAGCGGGAGGTACTCTGCCTACACTTGGAAGGTGTAAAAGGATGACGGTTCTCTGATGCACCGGGTAGTGGTGGAAGAGAGTTTTTATGAAGGCTTCTTCGCCTTGCTGTGGGGGAAAAAGTAGAGACACTAAGTGGTAATAGTGTAATACCTGAAGTGGGAGACTTCAAGGAGTGGATGTAGGTCATGTTTGACTGAACCACTATAAATCTTGTGTCTTTTTATTTTTTGTTGCTTTGTACTTTATTATTTTCTGTTGATCTTTGGTTGAAAAATCTTTTTCAGAAAATTTCACTATTGATTTTTTATCGGTTTAAAATATAATAGGGAAATTTTTAAATTACCAATTCACCCCCCTCTTTGTTTGTCGTTGGGACATAAGATTAAGACTAACAACCTAATTCATAATTAGCAAGTTCTAACAGTTTATAGTTAACCTATTCTTTATTTGTCTTGGAAGTCTAGGAAAAAGTTTATTCATAAAGGAGTTAAAGAGAGTTCTATGATGATTATTATTTAAGTTATGAGTTACCCTTCATTTGGCTGGTTAAGCTCGAGCCACTGTGGTGATAATCAGTCAAATAGTTTGTTCATGAATCATTGACACCCTCCTCAACATGATTAGATCAAGTTAAATGTTGATTCATCTTTATTACCTTCATATAAGGTAGGTTTTAGTAGTGTATTCTATAATAATAAAGGTAAATATTTGCTTACTTCTGGAAAGAATTGTATTCATTGGGATGTTTCCAAGCTAGAGCTTTCAGATATTCAATCTCTAAGAGATGCTATTAAGGAGTGAAAGTTAGTTTATAAGGGAATTATCATTGAAGATGATAATTGCAATATTATCAATCTTCTTTAAAATTCTGTGAGGAAAGGCGGACAGTGGCTGGAGAGTTTTTCATTTGTCAAGGATTTCAACCATGTTATTTTTAATTGTATTGATAGGAATGGCAGTAAGTTAGCATATTTGTGAGCTAACTATGCTCTTTTTAGTAATTTTCTTTGGGATGATATTAGTTTTAATAAGGTTCCACCTTTTCTTAATTTATTAAAGGAGGAACTTTAAAATAATGCTTCCTAGGTTGTATTTGTTTTTTTTAATGAGTTAAGGCAATTGGTTTTCTTCTTTAAACAAAAAAGGAACCTCCATATCTATGGGCTGTGATAGATCACTTGACCTATTATGGTGCATATTTATCTCTATAATGTTGTGCATCTCTATGGAAAACCAAATTTTTTAAGCCTTGTTAAAAGTTCAATATAAGATATATTACATACAAAGGTCAACTTACATGCATTACTTTAAAAATAAATAAAAATTAATTAAAATTTAATTATATTTAGCATAATCCCACCATACATAATTTAATGGGCCACTTAGGAAATTCTGTAGATGTTGGCCCCAAATTCTCAAAAAATTAAATAACAAGCCTTACTCATCTTCCACAACACTGGAGTCATTATTTAAAGTTCCTAGATGGTTTAGTTAGCATTCCATCCAGGCTGAAATAAGCTCAAAATCGCATTTATTTCAACTTAAACAAAATCTCCACTTCTGAGTCATTATTATAAAATTTCAACTTAAACAAAATCTAGGAACTTATTTCAACTTAAACAATACTAGAGTCATTATTATAAAATTTCAACTTAAACAAAATCTCCACTTCTCCAAAATTTAAATCGCAACATAAGATAGGCTATGGGTCTTCTGTGAAGGTTTTAGAATCCCAAAGTCCACACTACCTTTCATCCATTGGCCTAAAAAAAATAGTGTTCAAAATTTATCCAATCCCAATTGAAATTATAACTTCTCTTCTTTCATATAATTCTTTGAAAAAAAATTCAATTATTATTCCAATTGAGAGTATTCATGGGAAGCCTAAACTTCTTATATTGTACTAAACAACGAAGGATTACATCTGTATGATATTGAAGATGTCAGATAAAATAAACCCTATTCTTTTTATTCTCTAATAGAATTGGGGAAAATTTTTCTTTTTGGAAAATTAAAATCCAAGATGATCATTATGATCTATTCGAATATTTTCTTTTCTTGAAATGATACATAATAATAAATAATACATTTAGATTATTAGGGCTAAATATTTGATTGAATTATATATTTTTATTTCGGGGACATATGTAGTTACTTCTTGAATTTAACTTCAATACAATAATAACAACAACAACATCAAGCCTTTGTCCCACATCTTTGGCAACAATAGATGGGATGAAATTTATACTTTTATAATCTTAACCCACTAGAGAATGTTATTTTCACCTCCCAAGATAATATATCCTTCATGATGACATGTTTGATTTAAAAATGAAAAATTTAAAAGTCTATGCCAAAACATAATTACAATTGATTTGCACCATTCCCAA